AACACCAGTGGTGTTATACAGTAGCAGACCACAACACCAGTGGTGTTATACAGTAGCAGACCACAACACCAGTGGTGTTATACAGTAGCAGACCACAACACCAGTGGTGTTATACACTGCCTGGTCAAGTCACGTGGCCATACTCACGCTAGAGTACCATCACCTGACAATCAGATCCACCCAAGTGAACACTCAGAACACCCCTTAACAACACTTCAGAGCAACTCTCTCCAATCAGAATTTTTTTTATCCTTTCCAACCCTGCTTACTGGTGAGAGATTTGACATGACTCAGGGATCCAGCATGTATATCACTTTGATATACATGAACCAGTGATCATACATGAGCACCATGAATCCATTCATCACGCAGCCACCAAGGGGACTCAGGGCACACACACCTGTCTGCCACAGGTGTGTGGGACACCTGTGTGCCTTACCTTAGCCAGTGGCTGCTTGACACACTGCCAGTAATTACTCATCCCCAAACGGGTGCTCGTGACCTACCAACACCAAGGAACGTGTTGATGATAGTTACCTTAAACAAGGCACCGTGTTTAAGGGCCTTGTTTAAGGCCCAATTGATAGTTACCGTAAGCAAGGTAACGAATCAATAAAGAATCATTTGATAGTTACCTTAAACAAGGGACCCATGTTGATGATAGTTACCTTAAACAAGGCCCTTGTTGATGATAGTTACCTTAAACAAGGCGCTTGTTGATGATAGTTACCTTAAACAAGGCGCTTGTTGATGATAGTTACCTTAAACAAGGCGCTTGTTGAGGATAGTTACCTTAAACAAGGCCCTTGTTGATGATAGTTACCTTAAACAAGGCCCTTGTTGATGATAGTTACCTTAAACAAGGCCCTTGTTGATGATAGTTACCTTAAACAAGGCACCGTGTTTAAGGGCCTTGTTTAAGGCCCAATTGATAGTTACCGTAAGTAAGGTAACGAATCAATAAAGAATCAATTGATAGTTACCATAAACAAGGGACCCATGTTGATGATAATTACCTTAAACAAGGCGCTTGTTGATGATAGTTACCTTAAACAAGGCGCTTGTTGATGATAGTTACCTTAAACAAGGCCCAATGTTAATGATAGCTACCTTAAGCAAGGCACTTGGTGAAAGAAGTAAGTTTTCGAAAGAAATAAAAAGAACTCTTAACTGCCATTTAGTGAAAACAATGAACTCAAAATAGCAACAGGCATTAGCAAATGAAGACAAACAAGAAACAAAGTGAAGTAAATCAAACAAGCTGCAAACAAACAAACGAACACAAACAAGATATCAGGTGACGTATAGGGAGGGAGGGAACTATCAGGGGTAAAGCGCCAAGCCATCACGACTATATAGCACTGGGAAGGGATTAGGATTAGGAGTGGGACGAGGGGATAGGAATGGTGGCCAAATGGACGGTCGGGGATTGAACGCCGACCTGCATGAAGCGAGACCATCGCTCTACCGTCCACCCCCAAGTGGTTAAGTGTGACGGATAGATCAAACAAGGGACCAGGTGATGGATATGAGTAAGCTGGAAGAAGCCAATGGCTGTAGAAATCATCTTTAAACTACATCTTGAAGACAATTTAAAGCTGCATAGTTAGGAAACTCTCTGAGACGAACCACTGAGTGAAATAAGCTCAAACAAGCCACCTGGGGTTAAACTGAGTTAAGTCAAAACCCTGGAAATAGTTCAAGAAAGTGAGCTTAAAATAAGAATAAAGAAACAAGCTTCATTTTCACAGCAAGAAAGTGAACTTAAATACCACAGTACAGGAGTGAACTTTAAGGAGTTGACAATTATATTTAAATAACGTTTTTAAGGAAATAAATTGGCAAAATTATGTTCTTTTGAAACTGGGGTTCGAGAAGGCTTAGTGTTCTGTGAAGAGGAGCATTGGAGCATGTACACTCTAGACTCTATTGTAACTTGAGTAACGTTGGAGCATATACACTTTAGAGAGCAAATAGGAAGTACTTTTTCAGTTGGATACCACAACTGAACCACTTGGAGTAGTGACCACAACTGAACCTCTTGGAGTAGTGACCACAACTGAACCTCTTGGAGTAGTGACCACAACTGAACCTCTTGGAGTAGTGACCACAACTGAACCTCTTGGAGTAGTGACCACAACTGAACCACTTGGAGTAGTGACCACAACTGAACCACTTGGAGTAGAGACCACAACTGAACCACTTGGAGTAGTGACCACAACTGAACCACTTGGAGTAGTGACCACTACTGAACCACTTGGAGTAGTGACCACAACTGAACCACTTGGAGTAGAGACCACAACTGAACCACTTGGAGTAGTGACCACTACTGAACCACTTGGAGTAGTGACCACAACTGAACCACTTGGAGTAGTGACCACTACTGAACCACTTGGAGTAGTGACCACTACTGAACCACTTGGAGTAGTGACCACAACTGAACCACTTGGAGTAGAGACCACAACTGAACCACTTGGAGTAGTGACCACAACTGAACCACTTGGAGTAGTGACCACAACTGAACCACTTGGAGTAGAGACCACAACTGAACCACTTGGAGTAGTGACCACAACTGAACCACTTGGAGTAGTGACCACAACTGAACCACTTGGAGTAGTGACCACAACTGAACCACTTGGAGTAGTGACCACAACTGAACCACTTGGAGTAGTGACCACTACTGAACCACTTGGAGTAGAGACCACAACTGAACCACTTGGAGTAGAGACCAAACAAACAATTAGGTAAGACAAGTTGCTATGAACCATCAATTAGGTAGCCCATCCAGCCAGCGACTCAACCAGTCAGTGAGTCAACCAGTCAGTGAGTCAACCAGTCAGTGAGGCAACCAGTCAGTGAGGCAACCAGTCAGTGAGGCAACCAGTCAGTGAGGCAACCAGTCAGTGAGGCAACCAGTCATTGAGGCAACCAGTCAGTGAAGCAACCAGTCAGTGAAGCAACCAGTCAGTGAAGCAACCAGTCAGTGAGTCAACCAGTCAGCGAGTCAACCAGTCAGTGAGTCAACCAGTCAGTGAGTCAACCAGTCAGCGAGTCAACCAGTCAGCGAGTCAACCAGTCAGCGAATCAACCAGTCAGCGAATCAACCAGTCAGCGAATCAACCAGTCAGCGAATCAACCAGTCAGCGAATCAACCAGTCAGCGAATCAACCAGTCAGCGAGTCAACCAGTCAGTCAGTCAGTCAACCAGCCAGTCAGTCAACCAGCCAGTCAGTCAACCAGCCAGTCAGTCAACCAGCCAGTCAGTCAACCAGCCAGTCAGTCAACCAGCCAGTCAGTCAACCAGTCAGTGAATCAACCAGTCAACGAGTCAACCAGTCAGTGTATCAACCAGTCAACCAGTCAATAAGTCAACCAATGAGTCAACCAGTCTTCAAACTAACCAGCAACGCTTATTGTGTTAAATCCAGCAGATTGCGGTGGGATTATCAATATTTTACAATGGGAAAAAATACAAAAAAAGTTTATTGTTTAGATTATCGACATTAATAAAGAAATAACTCGAAAATGAGTGAGCGAAGCTTCTCCAATTCCGTGTCTCGCTTTCCTGAATGTTGAGGATCTCTTAATGGAGTGGTTCGTAATTAAGGGTTCAAGAACCAGGTGTAACGTGTCTCTGCGTGTCGTCTTTTCTCTGTCTGTCTGTCTCTCTCTCTCTACTTCTGTCTGTATCTCCTCCTTTCATTGCTTATGTGGCTTTCATTTTCACCTTCCTTTCTCCATTCGTTCCTAATGCTCTGGCGATTATTCCTGCTTCCTTCTATCCCTCTTGTTCTTCTGCTCGGTTTCTATCTTTTGGGTTTCTCAATTCTTGGGTTTACTTTTTCGTAATTCTACCTTTTGGGTTTCTCAATATTATATATATATATAATATATATATATATAATATAATATATATAATATATATATATATATATATATATATATATATATATATATATATATATATATATATATATATATATATATATATATATACAGTATATATATATATATTTATTATATATAATAATTTTTGTTTTCTCCATATTGTAAAATATTGGAGAAGTATTTTTTCTCCACCTCCACCTCTCTCTCTGCACCCCCCCCCCCTCCCACCTTCAGGTGTACACAACAAGGAAATCAACAATGATAACTGGCAATTCAGTTGGATAATGGCTCCAGGAAGGGGCCCGACACACTGGAAAATGACCCAGAAAACAAATGAATGTAGATGTCAGGAATTAGATGATTTTTGTGTAAATGTGTTAATTAACACATTCGCGTGTTAAATGGCAAATGTGTGAATGCTTGCAAGTTCGTAGTCAAGCGAGCTGCTTTCGTGAATGTGTAAATCTGTTTCAAATGACTTTTGAAGGAGTGCCAACGTCTGTAATTTTCAAATTACGAAGCATAATTCTTGCTCGGATTAAAGGCTTTTGTTTTGAGAATTTCAGTTAAAGACGTTTGTGGGAAAGAGAGAGATTTTCTAGGATCATGAAATCTGACTGTGGCTTCTCTTTCAGAAGTTCAGAGCTCTGGAAAATTACTTCAGAGTCGTATAAATTATGTAGGATCAACTTAATCTTGCTTGGACTCTTTCTTTCTTACTTTCAACTCTTCACTTCTTTCCCTTCTTTATCTTGATCCACTCTCCTACCTCCTCTTCTCCTCTTACTTCGCACTTTCTCTTATCTACCTCTGTTATCCTTTATCTTCGTCCGATAACATGACAATATGAGATCCAGAAGAAACTGTGAATGTAGTAGACCATTTGTAGATGAAATACAGTGAAATACAGTCATGCTGTATATAAAGAGAAGTCTAATAATAGGTAAAACGTAGACACACTTTAGATGTAGATTAAACTTATTGTTCATTAGTAGACTAAACGCAAATAAGTGTAGATAAAGAATTGTAGATAAATATTAGATTATTGTAGATTAACAATACACAAGATGTATATAAAATGTATATTAATTGTATAATGAATTTAAATTGATTATAGATGCAATGCAGACGTCTTGATAATCAGTAGAATAAATGTAGATTAGCAGTAGACTAAGTGTAGATGAAATGTCTACAAATTTTACATGTAGTTTAGACTGGTTTTATATTAATTTTATATTAATTGTAAATTAATAGTTGCCAACTTGTAGAAGGATTTGAGTATATTTGATAACGAGCAATAAACTAATTGCAGATGTTGCTTAGGCTAATTGTAAATGAAAAGTACAATAATTGTAAATGAAAATACAATAACTGTAAATGAAAGCATCGTCTCAGGTGTTAAATAAATGTTGACTAAAAAAATAGATGGTGGAAAAAATTAAATTTTGTAAATTTATGGGTTATATTTTACCCCATATCGAGACTTGTTATTTGCTCACCACTGTGTTAATTGGGCGCCAAGTTAGTCCTACTCTGGGGGATTATAGGTAATTAAACTCCAATTAATTCATTTTAAATGTAATCAATACATCTAAACATAATTTTATATGAATTTATTATAACTTTCTCTCCATTATGAACAGTAACAGCACCATTATGAACCGTAACAGCACCATTATGAACAGTAACACCACCATTATGAACAGTAACACCACCATTATGAACAGTAACAGCACCATTATGAACAGTAACAGCACCATTATGAACAGTAACAGCACCATTATGAACAGTAACAGCACCATTATGAACAGTAACACCACCATTATGAACAGTAACAGCACCATTATGAACAGTAACAGCACCATTATGAACAGTAACAGCACCATTATGAACAGTAACAGCACCATTATGAACAGTAACAGCACCATTATGAACAGTAACACCACCATTATGAACAGTAACACCACCATTATGAACAGTAACACCACCATTATGAACCGTAACACCACCATTATGAACAGTAACACCACCATTATGAACAGTAACACCACCATTATGAACAGTAACACCACCATTATGAACAGTAACACCACCATTATGAACAGTAACACCACCATTATGAACAGTAACACCACCATTATGAACAGTAACACCACCATTATGAACAGTAACAGCACCATTATGAACAGTAACACAACCATTATGAACAGTAACAGCACCATTATGAACAGTAACACCACCATTATGAACAGTAACACCACCATTATGAACAGTAACACCACCATTATGAACAGTAACACCACCATTATCAACAGTAACACCACCATTATCAACAGTAACACCACCATTATGAACAGTAACACCACCATTATGAACAGTAACACCACCATTATGAACACACCACCATTATGAACAGTAACACCACCATTATGAACAGTAACACCACCATTATCAACAGTAACACCACCATTATCAACAGTAACACCACCATTATCAACAGTAACACCACCATTATCAACAGTAACACCACCATTATCAACAGTAACACCACCATTATGAACAGTAACACAACCATTATGAACAGTAACACCACCATTATGAAGAGTAACACCACCATTATCAACAGTAACACCACCATTATGAACAGTAACACCACCATTATGAACAGTAACACCACCATTATGAACAGTAACACCACCATTATCAACAGTAACACCACCGAACGACATCGTTAAATCCTGAAAGAATTAAAGAGAAGATTTCAGTTTTAATTAAAATTTCATCATCTGTGAGTAGCCGGGGGAACGGTGTTCAAGGACCTACCTACTGTGAAGGAGAGAGAGTGAGTACAGTGAGAACTATTCACGTAATATAGAAAAATAAAGATTCGCAGCTTTTTACTGTAATAATACATTATTTTAGAATACAGCGAGTTGTAATTAAGGAAGTTATCTTAATTGATAGATGAATTCTAAATTCCTTTCGTGTTGAATTTAGTAATTGTCATATCAGTGATCGCTCGAGTTATTATTCACAGACACAGAGATAAGAGTACCATTAGTTCCTATCTTTCCTCATCTCAACTGTTCACAGACCAGACTGTCACAATATTGGGAGAGAGGTTTGGGCAGGTTCTTCATCTATATAATTGTTCTCAAGGTTATACATGGGCTCGTAACTGCTATTTCTTACTTCTTTTTTTTTTTTTTTCTCTCTCTCTCTCTCTCTCTCTCTCTCTCTCTGTCTCTCTCTCTCTCTCTCTCTCACTCTGTGTGTATGTCTCTCTCTCTATGTCTCTCTCACTCTGTGTGTCTTTCTTTCTCTCTCTCTCCAAGAAGATTTCCATTCCAATATCTCTTCGTTGCAGACACACGCAGTTCTGTTTCCATTCCAAGTGGGTTTCCATTCCAGAAACAATGTTATCCAAATAATTCCCATTCCCAAATAACCTGTTCCCTCCCAGGGGCGTTACGCTTTTCACCACTACTCATTTCCGGAACCCTCTATTCCATATACCGCTCAATACAAATACTGTCCGTTCCAGATATTGCACATCCCTCAGGGAACCTCCCATTCCAGGAGCTGCCTATTCCACACACACACACTCTCAAAAAAAATTGCTGAAGGTTCAGAATTTTCCGCCATGAGTGGTACAGGATACAGGCAACAATACATGCACTAGGGATTTATTCTAACAGAATATTGTATTTTTTTTATAGATTTTATGAGAATTGAATTTTTTTTATACTTTTTGATGAGAATTTAATTTTTTTATGATATTTTTTTGTGAGAATTGAATTTTTATTTTTTTTATTTTTTATGAGAATTGTATTTTTTTGTATAAAATTTTTATGAGAATTGTATTTTGTTATTTTTTTTTATTTTTATGTTGCTTTTTTATGAGAATTGTATTTTTTGTTCTTTTTATGAAAATATAATTTTGTTACGACACTTTTTAATTAAAATTGTATTTTTTATTATACTTTTTATGAGTTCTCCCCCTCACAGAACACACAATTATTATGTAACTAAACGACCTGTTTTCTGACAAATTGTGTATTATATATGAATATTTAAAATACTTCTAAAAGTAATCTAACAAATACAAACAAATTATTTGTCACATTCCAGAAGGTAATTCTTGGTGAAGGTAATTATTGTTGTAGGTAATTACTGTTGATGGTGGTTAATGTTAAATGTCGTCATTGTCGAAGGAGGTTATTGATGAAGATAGTTATTGCTTAGTAGTGGTTATTGTTGATGGTAGATATTCTTGAAGAAAATATTGCAGGTATTGTGGAAAGTAGTTAGTATTGAAGGTAGCTATTATTGAAAGTGGATATTGCTGAAGGAAATAATTGTTCATGATAGATTGTGTCGACGTAGTTAGAGATGAGGGCAGTTAGAGATGCAGGTCAGGGTGATGGGCCGGACAGGGTGACGGGGCCGGACAGGGTGACGGGGCCGGACAGTGTGACGGGGCCGGACAGTGTGACGGGGCCGGCTATATAACTGACGGGCAGGAAATTAACTCCATTTTTACAGCCTTGTCCACCGGAAGCTGCTTGACCATCCGGCCAGCCACCAACACCAACTGTGAGACCATCCGGCCGGACACCAGCACCAACTGTGAGACCATCCGGCCGGACACCAGCACCAACTGTGAGACCATCCGGCCAGCCACCAGCACCAACTGGGAGACCATCCGGCCAGCCACCAGCACCAACTGGGAGACCATCCGGCCAGCCACCAGCACCAACTGGGAGACCATCCGGCCAGCCACCAGCACCAACTGTGAGACCATCCGGCCGGACACCAGCACCAACTGTGAGACCATCCGGCCGGACACCAGCACCAACTGTGAGACCATCCGGCCAGCCACCAGCACCAACTGGGAGACCATCCGGCCGGCCACCAGCACCAACTGTGAGACCATCCGGCCGGCCACCAGCACCAACTGTGAGACCATCCGGCCGGCCACCAGCACCAACTGTGAGACCATCCGGCCAGCCACCAGCACCAACTGTGAGACCATCCGGCCGGCCACCAGCACCAACTGGGAGACCATCCGGCCGGCCACCAGCACCAACTGTGAGACCATCCGGCCAGCCACCAGCACCAACTGGGAGACCATCCGGCCGGCCACCAGCACCAACTGTGAGACCATCCGGCCAGCCACCAGCACCAACTGTGAGACCATCCGGCCGGCCACCAGCACCAACTGCGAGACCATCCGGCCGGCCACCAGCACCAACTGTGAGACCATCCGGCCAGCCACCAGCACCAATTGGGAGACCATCCGGCCAGCCACCAGCACCAACTGTGAGACCATCCGGCCAGCCACCAGCACCAACTGGGAGACCATCCGGCCAGCCACAAGCACCAACGGGGAGACCATCCGGCCAGCACCAACTGGGAGACCATCCGGCCAGCCACCAGCACCAACTGTGAGACCATCCGGCCGGCCACCAGCACCAACTGTGAGACCATCCGGCCAGCCACCAGCACCAACTGTGAGACCATCCGGCCAGCCACCAGCACCAACTGGGAGACCATCCGGCCAGCCACCATCACCCCCTCCAACACCCTACCATCACCCCCCTCCAACACCCTACCATCCCCCCCCTCCAACACCCTACCATCCCCTCCCCTCCAACACCATACCATCACCCCCCCTCCAACACCCTACCATCACCCCCCTCCAACACCCTACCATCACCCCCCTCCAACACCCTACCATCACCCCCCTCCAACACCCTACCATCACCCCCTCCAACACCCTACCATCCCCCCCCCTCCAACACCCTACCATCCCCCCCCCCTCCAACACCCTACCATCCCCCCCCCTCCAACACCCTACCATCCCCCCCCCCTCCAACACCCTACCATCACCCCCTCCAACACCCTACCATCACCCCCTCCAACACCCTACCATCACCCCTCCAACACCCTACCATCACCCCCCTCCAACACCCTACCATCACCCCCCTCCAACACCCTACCATCACCCCCTCCAACACCCTACCAACACCCCTCCAACACCCTACCATCACCCCCCTCCAACACCCTACCATCACCCCCCTCCAACACCCTACCATCACCCCCCTCCAACACCCTACCATCACCCCTCCAACACCCTACCATCACCCCCTCCAACACCCTACCATCACCCCCTCCAACACCCTACCATCACCCCCTCCAACACCCTACCATCACCCCCTCCAACACCCTACCATCACCCCTCCAACACCCTACCATCACCCCCCTCCAACACCCTACCATCACCCCCCTCCAACACCCTACCATCACCCCCCTCCAACACCCTACCATCACCCCTCCAACACCCTACCATCACCCCCTCCAACACCCTACCGTCACCCCCCTCCAACACCCTACCATCACCCCCTCCAACACCCTACCATCACCCCCCTCCAACACCCTACCATCACCCCCTCCAACACCCTACCATCACCCCCTCCAACACCCTACCATCACCCCCTCCAACACCCTACCATCACCCCCTCCAACACCCTACCATCACCCCCTCCAACACCCTACCATCACCCCCTCCAACACCCTACCATCACCCCCTCCAACACCCTACCATCACCCCCTCCAACACCCTACCATCACCTCTCACTAACAAAGCAGTCATGGAACAAAACAGACTCACTCAGCCTGCCTCGTTACCCGAGAAATGTAGTTAGCTGTTGGAGATTTGTTAATGTTGCTGCGTTGGGCTCCCCGCACAGCTGAGGCGGCTGCTGGAGCTGCAACATGAAGCACATCATGTGAGGACTGTGTAGTGATGGGGCGTCGCTATGAGGGTGAGGGAGGTCGCTTACTGGTATGTTGACTGGGAACAGCCATAGAACTGAGCCTTGAGGCGCTCCGCTGCGCAAGTGAAGATCTCAGCTTAATTCTTAATGATGTTGGGGCCAATTTTGGACGGGAATATCTCTGCCAGCTTAGATACTTGTACATCGTGTACTGGTGCCTGAGTGGACAGCGCTCGGGATTCGTAATCCTAGGGTCCGGGGATTGATCCCCGGCGATGGCGGGAACAAATGGGCAGAGTTCCTTTCACCCTGACGCCCCTGTTCACCTAGCAGGAGATAGGTACCTGGTAGTTAGATAGCTGCTAATGGCTGCGTCCTGGGAGTGTGTGTGTGTGTGTGGATATTAAAAAACAGAAAACAAACTGATTGACAGTTGAGAGACGGGCCAAAAGAGCAGAGCTCGACCCTCGCAAGCACAACTAGGTGAATACAACTAGGTGATAACACGAGACTACGAAGGCCTTGTACACATATGGCTTCAAGGGCCTTGTGCACATGTGACTGTTTAGGGTGTTGTATTTGGTGGTGTGATGCCGTGGACACCTTCACATGTGACACTACGGGGGGGGGGGGTGACACTGCGTGGGGGGGGGTGACACTGCGGGGTGGGGACACTAGGGGGGCGGGGGGTGACACTACGGCTCCTCAAACCCAAATTGTTTGCCAGTGGAAAGTTTGTTGTCAAAGAAATAGCAGGCATCCACCAGTCTCAGGAGACTATAGAGTTGCGCTCTGGTTGTCGGTCTGGAGTGGCCTCACCAGGGCGCAAAGCCACGGTAGGTTGATACGGAGGGAGAAGCTGTTACCCATGCAGCAGGTCCCCCCCCCCCTCCCCCATGCAGCAGCGATTGTTACGATAATCTGACCGTGGAAATAGCTACTATAATCAGCTTCTGGCGATAGTGCTATAATCGGATATTGGCGATAGTTACGATACTGGGATATGAACGATAGCCTCGGCTATCAGAGGCGATAGCTTAAGTGTGGAAAGATAGACGCTATATTTCAAATGCCAAATTCATAATGTAGATTTTACGAGTAGGCCTAAAATATAGTTCTAACAAGAAATGTAGACCTACCTGATTCTTGATTGTTTACCACACAAGACAACCTTACCTGTGGGGGAGAGAGAATGCAATCAGAATAATAATATTATTATGAAATGCAGCTAAAATAATTAATAGTATACCATCTAACAGTACTCCATCTCTATTTAATTAAAAATGTGAATGTTCGTTTGTTCAATATCGCTAATCTCCGAAAGTTTTTCACTGATTGCTTTGAAATTTTCACACAACGTTCCATTCGCATCCGAGCGGGTTTTTATATACTTACTATATTGATGTCACGTCTGTGACGGGAAAAGCATTTTTTTTTTTAACTGTGTTTATCATGTGTTTTTCACGTGTGGTTAATCTTTGAAACCTCTTTACCGATTGCTTTGAAATTTTGACACAACGTTGCATTCGAATAGGCGCGTGTTTTTATATACCTACTATATACATGCCTCACCTGTGACGGGAAAAAACATTTTTTTTTTTTAAACAGCGCCGTCTGTTGTACGTAAGAGCAACACACGCTGTAATCTCCGAAAGTTCTTCACCAATTGCTTTGAAATTTTTACACAATGTTCTATTCGAGTACGTGCATTTTTTTATATACCTACTATATAGATGCCACACCTATGACAGTTAAATAGAAGTTTTTTTTGTAAAACAGCACCATCTGTTGCACCTAATAGCAACACACGCTATACTAAATATGTTACGATTTCATTTCAATGTTTACGATTGCATTGATAAATTGAATTTTCATAGATTTCGATTTATTTTCATTTTGATTTAATTATTTTGTGTGACATTGCATTGGAGTTGAGCTGTGTTGTTTACCATACCGTTCATTTTGTATGTATAAGTATAGATGCCACACCCATGACAGGTAAAACCATTTTTTTTTTTTAAGAAACAGTGCCATCTGATGCACGTAGGAGCAACACGCTATACTAAATATGTTATGATTCAATTTCATTGTTTCCGATTACAAGGACGAATTGAATTTTCATAGATTTTGATTAATTTTCATTTATATTTAATTATTTTGTCACATTGCATTGGAATTGAGCTGTGTTGTTTACCATACTGTTCATTTCGTGAGTATAGTTTATTTTTGTATTTTTTAATTGTTTTTTCATTTCGTATTTTTAACTGTGTTTCTTATATTTCAGTGATGGGAAATATATATCTGTCGTATCTGTCGATAGTTTCTGTGTTGCTTGTTAAGATTTCTCTGGTGATGGTCTGCTTTTGTGAGTAGGTTATATGCCCCTTGATACTGCTTTGTTGTTTGTGCATTGTTAATCGCCTAGAAAGAGACGTTGTTGTCTTGCCTATATACTGAAATCTTTGGGGCTTACAGTCCTCAAGTTGGCATGTGAAGGCATAGACGACGTTGGTTTCTTTCAAGGCGTTCTGTTTGGCGTCTGGAGAGTTCTTCATGAGTAGGTTGGCCGTTATCTTGTTTTTGTAGTAAATTGTTAATTGTATCTTCTGATCTGTGTCTGTAGGGATAACGTTCCTATTAATAATATTTTTCAGGACATTTTTCTCCGTTTTATGAGCCGTCGAAAAGAAGTTCTTGTAAAACAGTCTAATAGGAGGTACAGGTGTTATGCTAGTTGACTCTTCAGAGGTTGCATGAAACGCCATGCAACCTCTGCAAGTACAACTAGTCGTATACTTCATCATGATATGTTAAAAGTAATGCAACCTGGGGTTCAACTAAACCCTCTAGGGGTTCTGAGGCATGCAGGTGACACCAAATCAGGGTTTCACACACATTACCCTCTGGTGTAGTATAGGAGGTTTACCCTCTGGTGTAGTATAGGAGGTTTACCCTCTGGTGTAGTATAGGAGGTTTACCCTCTGGTGTAGTATAGGAGGTTTACCCTCTGGTGTAGTATAGGAGGTTTACCCTCTGGTGTAGTATAGGAGGTGTACCCTCTGGTGTAGTATAGGAGGTTTACCCTCTGGTGTAGTATAGGAGGTTTACCCTCTGGTGTAGTATAGGAGGTTTACCCTCTGGTGTAGTATAGGAGGTTTAACCTCAACGCCTCCCGTGGGAGTAACCCAAGCTCTCCCCAGGGAGAAAATCCACTCATGGTAATGGATTCTGAACGACTGTGTAACTAGTGCTATTATCTACTCTCTGTGGTTAGGTTAGGTTAAGGTTACTTTAGGTTACGGTTCGGTTAGGTTAGGTTAGGTTAGGTTAGGTTACGGTTAGGTTAGGTTAGGTTAGGTTAGGTTAGGTTACGGTTAGGTTACGGTTAGGTTAGGTTAGGTTAGGTTAGGTTAGGTTAGGTTAGGTTACGGTTAGGTTAGGTTAGGTTAGGTTAGGTTAGGTTAGGTTACGGTTAGGTTAGGTTAGGTTAGGTTAGGTTACGGTTAGGTTAGGTTAGGTTAGGTTAGGTTAGGTTAGGTTACGGTTAGGTTAGGTTAGGTTAGGTTAGGTTAGGTTACGGTTAGGTTAGGTTAGGTTACGGTTAGGTTAGGTTAGGTTAGGTTAGGTTAGGTTAGGTTTGGTTACGATGATATGGTATAATATTGTCCAAAATGTGATATATGTAATTCAAAAATATTTAAGTGTGCTCTTGAATTTCGTTTACAGAAAACCAAATTTTTCTGACCATTTCTAAGAAAACGTTTTTCAGAATAATTTTTTTATACTTTAAACCAACGATTTGTAATACAATAACATTATAACTTGAGAATAATCTTTAAGGAAAGGATTAATTTGTCAGTTTACAAGTAGTCTATTACTGAGCCGTAATATACTTCAGATCATCACAAATATCTAGACAACTATCCAGGGGGTTTAACAAGGCGGATGGTTGCTCAGGGTAATGGATTTGCTCTGAGGACGGGTTCGAGTACCAAGTGTGCAAGTATAAATCCTCCTGCAGTGTGCAGGGTCGAATCCAGGTCTGTCTCCCGCCTCTCTCTCTCTCTGCCTTGCCTCACTTATATCTAGCTATCTCTCTATCTATCTCCTCGTCATCACCCCACTTCCCACTCCTTGCTTTCCTACTCAAGAAGCATTGAAACAAATTAATGGGTTTCAGATAATTCATTTTTCTTTTCAATTTTCCTTTATTTCAATTAATTTTTTTTCACTTCATTTTCCATTATTTTTGTTTTCAGAAATAACTCTACGTTAATTCCATGCCATATTTCACACTTGACTCCACGAACGACCTCATGAACAGTCTCGGGGCATTTCTAATATTTCGTAAAACATATAATTTAGTCCTATCCTGACTAGCCTATGTTCGTTCCATACCTCAGACCATTCACCCCCCCCCCCAAGCAATTTGTAAGGGAGTAGGCCCAAGTGTCTGCTCTCCAGCTACGGACAGACACTCTCTCTTACAGGTAGAGAGATATATTTACACAAGCCCTAAGCCTCTGGCTGGCCCACTAACCGCTAAAGCGATTTCGTAATCTTCCATGCATGCATAAATCTACACACGCACATGTGAATTCATCCAAATATACATACATACACCTTCACATACACATACATATATTCATGGCCTCCATGCACGTATAATCCCAGCTGTGAGCGTGCTAGGACGCCTCTCTCCAGCACTGACTTTTGCACCACAACAGCCACCAACAATTCGATAAAGCAATTTATTCATAGTCAAGTGAAGTAAGCAAAAATATTCTGGACTAAAAATAGGGAGCTGTTTTGTTGGTGTGGTAGAAGAGGAGGCTTTTGTGTGGTTATGTAGTGTAGTTCTCTCTTGATAATGGCTGATGTCTTGTTGTGCTGATATTCTCTTGTTCCTGGGTCTGGTTATACACCATACACTGTTCTATTGCTGTTGGCTGTGGGTATACACCATACACCGTTCAACTAGTCTATTGCTGTTGGCTGTGGGTATACACCATACACTGTTCTATTGCTGTTGGCTGTGGTTATACACCATACACTGTTCTAGTGCTGTTGGCTGTGGGTATACACCATACACTGTTCTAGTGCTGTTGGCTGTGGGTATACACCATACACTGTTCTAGTGCTGTTGGCTGTGGGTATACACCATACACTGTTCTAGTGCTGTTGGCTGTGGGTATACACCATACACTGTTCTAGTGCTGTTGGCTGTGGGTATACACCATACACTGTTCTAGTGCGGTTGGCTGTGGTTATACACCATACACTGTTCAACTGTTCTATTGCTGTTGGCAGTGGGTATACACCATACACTGTTCTAGTGCTGTTGGCTGTGGGTATACACCATACACTGTTCTATTGCTGTTGGCTGTGGTTATACACCATACACTGTTCAACTGTTCTATTGCTGTTGGCTGTGGGTATACACCATACACTGTTCTATTGCTGTTGGCTGTGGGTATACACCATACACTGTTCTATTGCTGTTGGCTGTGGGTATACACCATACACTGTTCTATTGCTGTTGGCTGTGGGTATACACCATACACTGTTCTATTGCTGTTGGCTTTGGTTATACACCATACACTGTTCTAGTGCTGTTGGCTTTGGTTATACACCATACACTGTTCAACTGTTCTATTGCTGTTGGCTGTGGGTATACACCATACACTGTTCTAGTGCTGTTGGCTGTGGGTATACACCATACACTGTTCTAGTGCTGTTGGCTGTGGGTATACACCATACACTGTTCAACTGTTCTAGTGCTGTTTGCTTTGGTTATACACCATACACTGTTCAACTGTTAGCAAAGGCTAAAGTCTATATATTGTGGTGATGTTGGCAGTCGTTGAAGAATACATTCTCCTGTTGTTGTTGTCAGTAGTTTAACATTCTCCTGTTGTTGTTGTTGGCAGTAGTTTAACATTCTCCTGTTGTTGTTGTTGGCAGTAGTTTAACATTCTCCTGTTGTTGTCAGTAGTTTAACATTCACCTGTTGTTGTCAATAGTTAACATTCACCTGTTGTTGTCAATAGTTAACATTCTCCTGTTGTTGGCAGTAGTTTAACAACATTGTCCCGTAGTTGTAGTTACTGTGTGACTCTACACAGACTGTTTTAATGTGAAACTCTCTTGACTAATTAGCGGTTGCTGGTGCTAATTGGCTGTTGCTTTTCATTTATGAAACGAATTCCAAAATGTAAATATAAATAATATTTAAAAAAAATGCAGTTGATGAGGAGAAAGTGTAATACAAACCTTACATTAACTTCTCTCAATGTAACCGAAACGTTTGGTATAAAATGTTTATACTTTACAAGTTATCATTTATATCTTACATATAACGTATAAAATCAATACAATACGTAAATAAAATAAAAAATGTATATATCTATGTTAACAGGATAGCATTATTTGCTAAGAAAATATGCTTGAATAAATTTATTTATTACGCAAATAAGAAGTGAACTTGTACAGAGATTCATTCATTTATTCATTCACTCATTCACTCACTCACTCATTCACTCATTCACTCACTCAGGTCTTCACCTCGTTCTCTCTATCCGTGTTGATCCTTTGAAAGCGAGAGATTCTGTGAGGAAGGTGAGTATGTACACACACTCCTAGGGTGAAGTGCGTCCTTGCCTGTTGTCTCTTACTGGTGAGTGCTTTGTGTGTGAGGGCGAAGGTGAGTGCGTCTTTATGCTCTTCTATAACGGGGTTTGGAGGACAGAGCTTCAGCTCATGGGCTCCGCCGCTCAAAACCAATCATTACTCTATTCATAAATGATCGTTTTGTACATTTATAGCTGGATTAATTGATATAATATGACCCAAGTCATAACATTAACGTGAAATATCTGGAATTAGAACCTCTATGCTCAAGAATTTGATTTAAAAGCAACGCTTATTATGTATTTTTAAATCACAACAGTTGTCAAGATCAGAATCTAAAATTATTTCCATAACATCTTGTACAGATCGATACGAAAATTGTTGGATTAAACACTTCAATCTTAATCAGACTTTACATTTTTGCCATAAAGTGAGTGGCTCATAATTTGAAAGGTGATATATAGTGACAAAAATAAAGTACAGTTTACCATTACAGCAGCGACTAATATGTCCACTTTAAATTACAAAAGTTGGATAATGAGAATACGATTTAAGGCACAAACAAAAACTAATAAAAAAGTGAATTTATACAAAGCATTTGTCTCACTCTTGGCACTCACACTCGTCACACTCTTGGCACTCACACTCGTCACACTCTTGGCACTCACACTCGTCACACTCTTGGCACTCACACTCGTCACACTCTTGGCACTCACACTCGTCACACTCTTGGCACTCACACTCGTCACACTCTTGGCACTCACACTCGTCTCACTCTTGGCACTCACACTCGTCTCACTCTTGGCACTCACACTCGTCACACTCTTGGCACTCACACTCGTCACACTCTTGGCACTCACACTCGTCACACTCTTGGCACTCACACTCGTCACACTCTTGGCACTCACACTCGTCACACTCTTGGCACTCACACTCGTCACACTCTTGGCACTCACACTCGTCACACTCTTGGCACTCACACTCGTCACACTCTTGGCACTCACACTCGTCTCACTCTTGGCACTCACACTCGTCTCACTCTTGGCACTCACACTCGTCACACTCTTGGCACTCACACTCGTCTCACTCTTGGCACTCACACTCGTCTCACTCTTGGCACTCACACTCGTCTCACTCTTGGCACTCACACTCGTCTCACTCTTGGCACTCACACTCGTCTCACTCTTGGCACTCACACTCGTCACACTCTTGGCACTCACACTCGTCACACTCTTGGCACTCACACTCGTCACACTCTTGGCACTCACACTCGTCACACTCTTGGCACTCACACTCGTCACACTCTTGGCACTCACACTCGTCACACTCTTGGCACTCACACTCGTCACACTCTTGAGTCATCAGGAACAAGATCACCGCCAACACACAGTTTATGCAACACAGTCGTTGCGAAACCCAGTTAATTGACGATTGAGAACCAGTTGATTGGCAGTTGAGAGGCGGGACCAAATGGCCAAAGCTCAACCCCCACAAGGAACAACTAGTTGACTAACTAGCTGATTACAGATCTGACTTCAGTGGGACTCAATATGCTTCTCAGTAAACCAACTCTTAGTAATAACTGCTCCATCTAAAGTCCAAGTATCCAGCAGGGAGTGTCCCTGCTCGCCCAGCTACAGGGCGAGCATACAACATAATACAGGGTACAAAACACAATCGAATCTGCCCATAGTCGGAAAACAGCATGTCAAGGATTTGGGAATAATGATGTCCGACGATTTAACGTTTAGGGAGCATAACCAAGCAAATATTGCGTCAGCCAGAAAAATGATCGGATGGATTACGAGAACTTTCAAATCCAGGGATCCCATCACAATGGTTGTACTCTTCAAGTCACTTGTGTTGTCCCGTCTTGAGTACTGCTCAGTACTCACTTCCCCCTTCAGAGCAGGAGAGATTGCTGAAATAGAGGGAATACAGAGAACATATAAGGTACGCATAGACGCGATAAAGCACCTAAATTATTGGGATCGTCTCAAAGCTCTCCAAATGTACTCACTAGAAAGGAGACGAGAGAGATACCAAATAATATACACCTGGAGATACTGGAGGGCCAAGTACCAAATCTACACAGTAAAATAACAACGTACTGGAGTGAACGATATGGAAGAAAATGCAGAATAGAACCAGTGAAGAGCAGAGGTGCCATAGGCACAATCAGAGAACACTGTATAAACATCAGAGGTCCGCGGTTGTTCAACGTCCTCCCAGCGACTATAAGAAATATTGCCGGAACAACCGTGGACATCTTCAAGAGAAAACTAGATAGTTTTCTTCAAGGAATGCCGGACCAACATGGCTGTGATGGGTATGTGGGCCTGCGGGCCGCTCCAAGCAACAGCCTGGTGGACCAAACTCTCACAAGTCAAGCCTGGCCTCGGGCCGGGCTGTGGTGGGTATGTGGGCCTGCGGGTCGCTGCAAGCAACAGCCTGGTGGACCAAACTCTCACAAGTCAAGCCTGGCCTCGGGCCGGGCTTGGGGAGTAGAAGAACTCCCAGAACCCCATCAACCAGGTATATGTGGGCCTGCGGGCCGCTCCAAGCAACAGCCTGGTGGACCAAACTCTCACAAGTCAAGCCTGGCCTCGGGCCGGGCTTGGGGGAGTAGAAGAACTCCCAGAACCCCATCAACCAGGTATATGTGGGCCTGCGGGCCGCTCCAAGCAACAGCCTGGTGGACCAAACTCTCACAAGTCAAGCCTGGCCTCGGGCCGGGCTTGGGGGAGTAGAAGAACTCCCAGAACCCCATCAACCAGGTATATGTGGGCCTGCGGGCCGCTCCAAGCAACAGCCTGGTGGACCAAACTCTCACAAGTCAAGCCTGGCCTCGGGCCGGACTTGGGGGAGTAGAAGAACTCCCAGAACCCCATCAACCAGGTATATGTGGGCCTGCGGGCCGCTCCAAGCAACAGCCTGGTGGACCAAACTCTCACAAGTCAAGCCTGGCCTCGGGCCGGACTTGGGGGAGTAGAAGAACTCCCAGAACCCCATCAACCAGGTATCAAGCAGCTGATTACTTCCTTTGTTTAGTCCTGTATACCTGCTTTTGTCAGATAACGTCCCACATCGCACATAAATCCCTAATACAACATGCAGTAATAAATCACTGTTGTTGTTGTATTAATTAAATATAAATTATCTTAGCAGTGACAAAATTTGCAGTAGAAAACGAGTAATTATTGCTACGTCTCCTCTGATTACCTTACACCAAAATATTATTACTTAACCCTAAAGGCAACAGTCTGAGGACTGAGAGTAACAAAGGAATTCTCTAAAATAAGTACATTGTCAGTAATAAAATCAATTATATATAACTCCTTCCCGTTATGAACGAAAAAGTAACTGGGGCCAGATTCACGAAGCAGTTACGCAAGTACTCACGAACGTGTACATCTTCCCTCAATCTTTGACGGCTTTGGTTACATTTATTAAACAGTTTACAAGAATGAAAACTTGCCAATCAACTATTGTTATTGTTATAAACAGCCTCCTGGTGCTTCGGAACTCATTAACTGTTTAATAATTGTGAACAAAGTCACAAAAGATTGACACCATACACCACGTGACTTAGTCTTGCCTGACCTGCTCACTATACACACCATACACCACGTGACAGTCTTGCCTGACCTGCTCACTATACACACCATACACCACGTGACTTAGTCTTGCCTGACCAGCTCACTATACACACCATACACCACGTGACAGTCTTGCCTGACCTGCTCACTATACACACCATACACCACGTGACTTAGTCTTGCCTGACCTGCTCACTATACACACCATACACCACGTGACAGTCTTGCCTGACCTGCTCACTATACACACCATACACCACGTCACTGTACTGAGTCCGGACTAACTACCAAGAACTACCACTATAACAACAGCTAAGCTCTGGTGTACTCTAAACAATAACAATAATACTCATTAGAGTTGAATAATTTGAATTTACGTTAATACAATCAAAACCATTAACACGTTGATTCTTGAGTAGTTGTAATCAATGATAACCCCGCCCCCCCCCCCCCAAGCTTCTGAAGGAATTTATTAGGGGAATTAATTCTAATTTTTACACTCCGCTTTCCAAAGAAATAATTTAAGCGTAAATAAAATTATAAATATTTAATAAACAAATAATTAATAATAATTAAAATAAATAATTAAATTCCCCTGGTAAATTGCCCCAAACCATTTGCAGTTCCTCCTATTTTCTCCCATGGTATCTTTGAACCTTCGGGCAGGTCACCCACACATTCCCACCTTATACATTGACTTTCTCCGTCACTCCTTCTCTACACGACTTGATAAAGGTCCAAGATGGACCGAAACGACGTCATTCCCTTTGTTTTCACTTGTGTGCGTGATGGGGTCGACGGTTCGAGTCTCCTGCAGCCCAGGACCGGGATTCACGAAGCAGTTACGCAAGCACTTACGAACGTGTACATCTTTCCTCAATCTTTGACGGCTTTGGTTACATTTATTGAACAGTTTACAAGCATGAAAACTTGCCAATTAACTGTTGTTATTGTTATAAACAGCCTCCTGGTGCTTCGGAGCTCATTAACTGTTTAATAATTGTAAACAAAGCCGCCAAAGATTGAGAAAAGATCTACAGGTTCGTAAGTGCTTGCGTAACTGCTTCGTGAATCCGGGTCCTGGTGAATGGAATGTTCAACCACGTTATTGTGGCCTGCTGCATGCGTCCACGTCCAGATCATTTTAATAATGAGTAATCGCCTTTATTAATCGTTGGATAATCAACGCTCTCAGTATAAACACTTTAATGGTGGATCTGAAGCTTTATTTGTTTAACGAATTAGCGTCAAATAACAAAAAAGTTTAACGAATTAGCGTCAGATAACAAAAGGGTTTAACAAAATTACATAAAATAAGAAAAAGGGTTTAACGAATTTACAACAAATAACAAACGGATTTAACGAGACCAGGCTGTTCAACGCCATTGGACGATACTGTTGATAGCTATAGTAAGGTAAAGGAATATTAGGTGACGGCTAACTATGTATACTGTATACCCCTGTGTGGCCTGATGGTGGTTAACGACATGTATGAGGCGGTGCTTGTTATGTATACAGCTGCAAGGCAATTAGCGCGGTTATAACAGCAGCCAGTTAAGAGTTAGAGTTAGAGTTAGTGTTAGTGTTAGAGTTAGAGAGGTGTG